CTCTTCCTCTTCTTCACCCGCCTCCTGCAGCGCTTCCGCTTCTCCGTGCCCGCGGGACAGCCCCCGCCCAGCGACTATGGTGTCTTTGCCGTGCTGGTCACCCCCGCCCCCTATCAGCTGTGTGCGGTGCCCCGCTAGAGGTGCCGCCTCCCGCACCGCCCTGTGCGGGGCCCCCGCTGCCCAATAAACCAGCCTTGGCCCCCTCCAGCCGACTCTGGTCCACCTGCCTCCCTCATGCTGGAGTGTGGGTCCCCCGCAGCCCCTCAGAGTCCATCCCACTCTTGCGTCTGTCCTGACCTTTGCCCATTAGAGGGGACTCTGCCTCGGGTCACCGTGGAGGGGCGCGGCTGCCTGGCTGGTGACAGTTCCATGTCGAGTCTTTCCTGGGTGTCAGGCCAGGACAGAAGGCACTGAGGGTGACAGTAACCCCACTGGGTGTGAGGAGCTGAGCCGGAGTCCCCAGAATCCATCACATGTGGACTCCCCTGCAACTCACGCTCAGCAAGCTGGCACTAGGGCTCTGGTCTCAGGGACGCGGGTGCCAGGCCAACCAGGCAGAGGCCCGGTCTCCCCGAAGCACGTAGGGCCCGGACCTAGCCGGCAGTGTCGTCCTCACTGCAGAGGCCATCACCCCCAGGGAAGCTCCCCAAGGTCTGACGCACGGTTTATGGGGTTGTCACTGGCTGCCAGTGCCCCAGGCTGACCTCCGCCCACCGGCCATGGGGTTACTCCTGGGTGGCAGCTGAATGCCCTGACCTGCAGGGCAGTTCTCACTGGGCGGACCCCCCACTGGCCCACAGTCCTGGATGTGGAATTGTGTCTTCTCCTTTGGCGAAGTGTTGAGGGAACACCAGCTGTACCCCATCAGCTGTGTGGTGTGTCCCCGCCAGCGGTCCCGTTCCCTCGCCCACACCAGCACGGCGAGCTGAAGCCCTCGGGCCTGGTCTGCCCACCTTCCCCGAGTGTCTGCCCCAGGCCATGCCCGGTTTCACACTGGTGATGCTCTCGTCACGGGACCTTTCTGGCGTCGCACCCCTGTGCTGGGTCCGCTGTCCTCAGAGAGGTGACCACGGACTTCCCTCTCCAGGCTGCTTCCCTCGGCCCCGCCCTAGTGACCATCCGTGTTCCGGAGCTGTGACTTCCATGTAGGACAGCTCCGCGGTGTTTTCTGTGCTCTGTGCCGTTCCATGTCGGGACGTTTGCCGCCTGGCAGGACGTGAAAGCGAATCGGTGGGCACCAGCTCCTGCTGCGCCTGTGCGGAGGGAGGGAAAGCTCAGGTGTGTCCCGGCGCGGAGGCCAGGCAGCCACGGGAACGGGATCGGAGGGTGGAAGGAGGGAAGCTGGGCTCAGAGGCCCAAAGGACAGCTGCAAAGTGCCTGCCCTGGTGGGCAGCCAGAGCGAGAATCCGGACCGGCCACGGACCGCAGCCCCCGGGGGGAAGCGGCGGAAATGGCGAGTGTCGGGAGGGCTCGGGCGCACAGCCCACAGGGGCCGTGGCTGTGCAGACGCAGGGGCACTGCCAACGTGGGCGTGCTCGTGCCCAGCACTGCACTGGAAAGGGGCACGCTGGGCGCTAGGACCTGGCTGCGCTGTGGGCAGCTTCAGGGATCCCGCGGAGCAGGAGACTGATCCACCGGGGCTCGATACAGGCCAGCGGAGCCCGAGTCCGGTCACAGCCCCGAGGCTGGCGCTCAGCACACCGGCCACTCCCCAGCCAGGTGAGCCGAAGCAGCGACCGCTGGCATGGAGTGGGGTTCACCGCCTGTTAGTTACAGAGGCCCCAGGGCTCAGAAGAAGCCCTGTGTGGCAGCGGTGCTCGAGTCCCAGAGCAGGGGCCCCTGAGGCCCCCACACAGCGCCCAGGGCCTGGGCGGGAGAGGCCTGACTCCCTGACATGGCGCCGGCCCCGCCGGTCTGCGGCCGGGTGGGCTGCCGCCTTCCTGGCGCTCTGCCCTCCGCTGTGTCCCCGGGGTCTGCGCCTTCGTTACCCCCAGACACCCCCAGACACCCCCTTCACACGTGCACACCGTGCCCTCCGGGCGTGCGTGCCCCATGCCGCCACTGGACAACCGGGCAGCAGCGGGGGAGCAGTGGGGGCCGCGGTGGGCGCTGCCGGGGTAGCCGCAGCCGTCCAGCCGCAGCAGAGAGCAACTTCCCCAGCAGGGTGGGATTCTTCCGCGCGCGCGCTCGTACCAAGCCTTCAGAGAAACATTTTCCGGAGGGAACGTTGGTTGATTCTCAAAGCCCTGAAGGAGGCCTCCCTGGGGGTCACGGGGCTAAGGCGCAGCACTGCGAGGCTGTCCAGCGCCGAGTTGGAGGCCGGCCAGGGAGTGACCCCCAGGGCGCTCAGACCCTGCCTGCGCCCCTCCCCTCGGCAGTGGGTCTCTAGATCCGCCTGTTCTGCGCCACTCCGACTCGGTGAATCCTCGCACCTCTGGCCTGCACCCCAGCTTTTGTATGCATGCATAAATCTTTAAAAGAATGTCCAGGAAGCACAGTCCTTGGAGGCGGAGGGGCGGGCCCTGACTGGGTCAGAGCCCCACCCCCAGGGGCCCCTGCGGGCAGCCTGGCGGACTGGACCTGCTGAGGAGACGCTGAGGCAGCAGAGGGCACCCTGGCCAAACAGAAGGGGGGACACAGCGTGCCTAGGGCTGGCAGGGCCCCTGGGGCAGGAGCGTGGGAACGGGAAGGGCAGGGCGCAGGAAGATGGCGCAGGTTTGGCGGAACTGCCGCCGCCTCCTGCTCGGGGGAGGTTGCCCGCTGCCGTGCGCTGGTGAGCAGCTTCGGACCAGGAGCAACAGCGGTCTCCTCTTTCTGGGGGCGGTCTCCCCAGGAGGGACGCAGACTGCAGCGCTGCAACTCAGCACACTTCCCTTGGCCCAGAGAGGACTGGGCGGCGCCCAGGGCACCAGTCCGGGGCTGCCTCTGCCGGCAGCCCCCCCACCCCCGCTAGACAGTGGGGGTTCCTCTGCCGGGCACCCCCACCCGCCGCAGCAGGGAGGGAGGGGAAGGGACGTGGGGGGGCAGAAGGAGGTTGAGGGGCAGTTGGCTGGCCAGCACAGCTAGATCAGCAGAGCCCCGGCCTCTTTAAGCGCTGGTGACAGGGGTGAGGACTCCATTTCCCTGGGGGTCTTTGCATCTCCCCAGGAGTTACAGGGAAGCGTGCGGCGCCTTCCAGTGCCTGGTGAAACAGCACCCTGTGCATGAAGGGTGGGTCTGGGTGGGTCCCCTGGGAACGCAAGTGTGACCAGCTGTGCGCCCGTGGGTGCGTGTGGAAAGGGGGGG